GGGGGGGGGGGGGTGTGGCGAATTGAGTAATTGTACCAGCGGCGCACCGTTGGTTAGAAAGAGAATCGTGGTGGCTATTGGTGGCATTGCATGGGGGTGGCATGGCTAGAGTGGGTGGCACAGGCCCAAAAGCGATGCAAGTGGATGGGTCAAGGCGCCGCGACAGCTTAGCCGGGGGCGGCGTTTGCAAGAGCAGCGAAACAGGAGGCAGCCGGACCGGCCCGACGCCTGCGCCGCAGCAGCGCCGTCCCCGCGGTGCAACACATGAAGCTCAGAGCGGGCCCCCCTCCTCCCAGGGCTTTGCCCCCCCCCCCAAACCCCCCGTAGAGGGCGTGCCGCCGTGCCCAGAGCGCCGCGCCGTGCCCAGAGCGCAGCATCCAGGGCGCAGCGCCGTGCGGGGGCTGTCGGCGGGCCCCTTCCTCCCCGCCCAGGGCGCACCCGCGACAGCAGGTCGTTGAACGGCCCCGGCCGCGGCAGCGCCACGCACGCCTGCCGCAGCCGCGCCACGCAGTCGGCGGCCTTGGGGTAGAGCCGCGCGCCCACGCTCTCCTCCACCAGGCGTGGGATGACCTCCTGCGGCCAGGATTTGGGGTGCAGGGTATAGAAATCAGGGTTTGCTTCGAGTTGTTGGAGAGCCGCGTTGGGGTGTGTCGCGCCCGGCCTCGGACGGAGGAAGGGAGTGCAAGAGTAAGGCGTGCAGTGGGGAGAGCAACGGCGGCCCGTGCGCGCCGCCACGACGACGGTAGCATTGTGAGCAGGGCTTGGCCCCTGCGGAAATGAAGAATTTGCCGCGGATCTGCGACGGCAGCGTTGCTGCAGCGCCGCCTGCACGCGTGCGTGCACATGCGACAGCTGCGAGGGCTGGCACGTGCTGCCCGCACCTCCATGCCGCGGATGGCGTCGTCGGCCTTGCCGCCCTCCAGCAGAGCAGCAAAGTCCTCCAGGGGGGACGCGGTGCCCACCTGCTCGCAGGCGCGTGTGAATGCGGGGTGCGTGCATGGTCACCTGTGCTCACATCGGTGTGGGCTCACACGCGTGTGTGTTGACTGGCACGTAGAACGCTGCATACTTGAAGGGTCGCTCGCGCATGAGGGTTGCGTGCGCCAGCAAGGATACCTAGCAAGAACGTCTGTCTGATGCACGTCCCATAGACAGCCGCCGCCGCGCCGCCGCGTCCCCACGCCAGCGCCCTGGAGTCAGAAAGCGCGGCGGGCGCTCACCTCCCGGATCAGCCGCGCGCCACCCTCCCCCATCCGCAGCACACCCTCCTCCCCCGCACCGCCGCCCCCGCTGCCGCCGTGCCCGCCGCC